TAAGTCAGAACTGGCGTCCAGATTCAGCCGCGGTTGAAACTGATCAGTTTCAGCAGCGGCTGACGCCAGTTCCGACTTACATACAGATTCAACTTAAGAACAAACCTACAGTCCCTATCTTGTACGTAACCCGGGGACTGCCTGTATCTGCAAAGAAGCTGAAAGATTGACTGAGGACTAATCCCTTGTCCCTCTCAATGACGGTTGAGGCATACTAGTGGAGCAGGCCGCGGTTGAAACTGATCAGTTTCAGCAGCGGCTGACGCCAGTTCCGACTTACATACAGATTCAACTTAAGAACAAACCTACAGTCCCTATCTTGTACGTAACCCGGGGACTGCCTGTATCTGCAAAGAAGCTGAAAGATTGACTGAGGACTAATCCCTTGTCCCTCTCAATGACGGTTGAGGCATACTAGTGGAGCAGTGCGTTTAAAGCTTTAACAGCTGCCATCTCTGCTTTCTGCTCTGTTGTTGGAGGACTTCAGTTAGTGGGTCTTTGCCCATGAAAGCTTATGCTCCAACACTTTAGTTAGTCTATAAGGTGCCACAGGACTCCGCGCCGCTTTTATTCATTTAATATCTTTCCCAAACACAAATTGGCATAAAAAAACCATTTTGATGATAGTGTTAAAATCTCCCCCAAAGGAGATGTTTTTTGTAATGGTTCACAGCTGAAATAGCTTCTGTAAAGGGAAGCAGCATACACTGTGTGTGCACACAGACAGTCGGAATTTGCATATTGGTTTCAAGAGAGCCCAGTAACAGTTGAATGGTGTGAGGATCAGCGGTTGCCAGCTTGGCGTGTAATCCCGCCACCCTCTCGTGGGTGTTCTTTTGTTCTAGCCCAGATGCTAAGGTCTGCACTTGCTGAGCATGAAAGTTAATGGCATGTTTTTTCTTTATAAACAGAGAAGGCTGGGGGGAGGACTGGCCTGCTGACAGCAGAAGAGGCCAGAAACATCAACAAACTCCATGAGGAAAACAGACAGTTTTTGTGTATACCAAGAAGGTAAGATCTGACTTGGGGCAATACTGCGGTGTCTCCTCAGTGGAGTCTACTGGCATTTCCAACACAAGTTTCCTTTTATGGAGAGTGTGATGGCACATTGGGGTTTCCCCGTCTCCTGCACCCCTGTAGTGGCACAAAAAGACTCCACCGGCCAGTAGAATAGAGGGAGTTTATTGCTTCTCCAGGGTACAGCACAGCACAGATGTCATCTGGTTACAGGGCAGGCTTAGGATGTCTCAGCCCCCCTGGAGATGGGGGAGACTGGGCCCCTAAATCCCAGCCCGTTGCCTAGGCTGTCTCCTCCATGATCCCAGGCAGAAATAAAAACCATCCCTTCCAGCCCTGCCCCCCCAGCCAGGGCTGCAGTCCGCTTTCCTTTGTTCCTCTCCCTGGGACGTAACTGGTCGGACAGGTTACCTCCCTGTCCCATCAGCTACTCTGCTAGTGGGGGTCACCCACAGCCCAAGCCTAGCAACCAGCAAGGTATCCGCACTACGTCACAGAGAGGCACAGTTCATTCATTATCCTTTGGCACATTTATTCTAACATTTGCACTTAACTGACGTTTTGTCCTGTTGCCAGAATCTTTGACCTGAAGGTATCAGTTATGTCCTGGAAAACATACACCTCATGATGTCCGTTGGGCAGCAGTGCACTGTAAAGTATCAGTGGGGTAGCCGTGTTAGTCTGAATCTGCAAAAGCGGTGAGGAGTCCTGTGACATGCATGTGACGAAGTGGGTCTTTGCCCATGGAAGCTTATGCTCCAGCACTTCGGTTAGTCTCTAAGGTGCCACAGGACTCCTTGCCGCTAGTGCACTGTAAGTGTGACATACCAGAGCTGGGATTGGTGCCGGAGCACAGAGGCCCAGCAGAGCACTTAGTGTGCCTTTTTCAAATAATGTCAGGCACCGGACAGTTCACAACTCCAGACGCCCTTTGAGAGTGTCCGCACTGGAGCTGGAAGCTGTAACTTCCAGCTCAGGTGGACATACGGTGCTAGCTTCAGTGAAGCTATTGTGCTAAAGTGAGTGGAGTAGCCGGGGCTGCATAACTGGTGGGATGGTCTCACTGCCCAAGTACAACTGAGCATCACGGGAATTCACTTTCCAGATAATTGAACAGAATATTAAAGGAGTTTTAACGCTGAGAGAGATGCAGGGACTGATTCTAGTTAGAAGTCAAGCCTCCTTTAAAGAGGACTGTTAGTCTCAGCCACTCTATTTGAGACCAGCCAGATAGAAGAGCCTCTTAAACTCAAAAAGATCTAGAGCGAGAGATGACTCTCACGTGCTTAAATATCTTAAGCCTCACAGCTGAGGGAACTGGCTTTTTGCGTGAGAGATTATAAAGTAGCATGAAATGAATTCTTCTGTCTAATACACTCGTCCCTTTTTGAAATATATAAGGAGAACAAAATGGCACTTATAAGTCTGCTAAAATACGTACCTGTACATAAGAACAACCACCAATAAAAGGCCTCTTAACTGTCCAGAGCAAGTGTTCTTTCTGATCTTTGTTTTCTGTTCTATCTGTCCAATAAAAGATTCTCAAATGCTGTTCCATTTCTTTCAATACGTGATCATTCTAGACCTTACTGGGATAGGAGAACCAGCGCTGAGAACTTACAGCAAGCAGAGAGAGAGAGCTTTCTGCAGTGGAGACGACAGCTTGCTCGGTGAGTGTGCTACTTGTGCTTAACACAGCCAATGAGATTTGGGGAAGAGTGAGTAGAACCCTAGGGACACAGGGATCATGTCTCTTGCTCCCGGTAAATGCAAGAAAAACCCCTTATGATTTTGGCCCATCCTTGTGGTGAGCTTCCGAAAAGTACCACTGTGTGTGCTGGTCATTATGAAGTTAAGAGTTCGGACCATGTGTCCTAGAATCCTAGTGAGGTGGGGCTGGCTGGGAGTTCGCAAAGTGGTAGTGTCCAGCCCCATGCTTTGGGGCAGGACCAAGCAAACCTGTAACTCATGTTTACATGCTTTGCCAAAAAGGAGGCTAATTTAGAGTCCCCTCAGCTGAGGCGTGATGTCTTATCCACAGCCCTTTCGAGGAGCTTGTGTCTCCAGAGAATGCCAGTGCCACTTCTGGTTTCTACAGGAAAGTGCTGCTCAAGTGAGCATAGCTCCATGGGAGCCGAGTGCCCTCTGGCCCAGACATTAAGATACCAGAAATGGCCCCAAATGCATGTTTTCCACATGCCAACAAGCTGTGTAGCTCCTGGGTGTCAGGAGTAATAACTTGAATCTCTTCCAGTACCTTAGCTCTGATGGAATTGGTCGATCCCTCTGGGAGAGGTGGATGTGTTGTAATTCCAGAGACTTGGTGCTCTGTTTGCTGTCTAACATAATCAGCATGCAGGGTGTCCTCTCTGTTTCTCTCTAGGTTAGAGGAAGAACAGAAACTGATTTTGACTCCATTTGAACGCAATTTAGACTTTTGGCGCCAGCTCTGGAGAGTCATTGAAAGAAGGTAACGTTTGTCAGTTTGTGTCGAGGAGCATAGAAATCATGACATTAAAAGTTAGATGATTTTATTCACATATTGCTAGTGATTTCCTGCATTCCCACTTCATAATCTTAAGTGGCTAATGTGGACTCTTTGTAATTATGAAGCCTCAGACCTAAAATGCTCGTCTGTGCTGAAGACACATCCAGGATTTCATTAGCGTCCTCACTCTGGAACGTGATCGATAAGCAGATAGCCTATGCTGCATTTGCAGGCAACTCCGCCTTCGGATATATTGAACTTCCACGCGGCATAAAATGTGAAATAGTCCTAGTTTGCAGTCTGAAGTCAGTGGCTTGTCTTTGAAGTCACATCAGTGCATTTGAAAACCCCACCCATAAATGCCTAAATATGCACCATATGGACTTGGAAATCTGACTTGAGGTTCCTGTTTTTTAATATCTTGGCCTGTGTGTGTTTAAAAAACAGGAACAATGTGATTGGGCGCATGTTGAAGGCCCAGTGAAGTTTCATTGTGAGCACTGCCTGGATTTTGTTTTGAAGTAACAAAGATTTTCTGTAACCCTCCACCTCAGACGTGTGCATATGCTTAGCTTGCAGCACAAGCGCACCCACTGATCTCAGCAGCAGCGCTGGCCCTTTTTCTGTGGCTTCCCTTCTAGGCTGCCCTTCCAAATCTTCTGTCAGCTTGACCCACCACCTCTGCCCCGCCCACATGGTCATTCCATGCACCGGCCTGGCAGGCAGGGGATGATGTGTCCTGGGATAGGGGAGCCTTTGAAAGCCCAGGGGAGGTGGAGGGTGGGCTCCTGGTCTAGGGTCTCTTGCTGTTCAGAATAAGGTTATTGGGAGCATTAGTCCCAACTTGGCATGCCAGGGAAAGGATCTTGCTGCTTGCTCTGCTTAGCTGGAACAGAAGAGCTAAGCCATCTGCCTGCTTAATCTCGCCGGGTATTTAATTTCATTAGTAATTAACTTGGAGATTGAATCTCTACTGATTCTTCTGAAATTGAAAAATACTTCACCAGCGAGGTCACAGCGTTTCATGAAGAGCCTCTTTATACTGTCTGTGTTGGGAGGGGCTTTGGTTGGGGAGTGCCCGGGCTGTCAGAAACATCCTCCTGTTGATGCACCCTTATGCCTGGCACCCAGGCGCCTTTCACACACTTCACACGGTGCTGGTCTGCACAAATCTGCCGGCTCTCTTTGGAGCTCATTTCTGTGGTCCAATCCTGGAACTCCTAGACGGGAGCAACCAGTCACACCATCCAGTGCATCTCCCTGGCAAAAGAGGTTTTCTAGCTACTGGGCGTTTTCTAGAAGTGTTTGGTTCAGTCTAGTTCCAAAAGTCACCGCTTCTTTCTCCAGATTGTGCACTGCCCTAGTACCCTGCTGTCAGGGTGACAGTCAGCTTGATTCATTGTATCCCATCCCCACATGACACATTATATGATTCCTCTGCGTCTGATGTTCACTCCCTTCAGACATAGCTGGGAATGGTGGTTTTTCTCTGTGATGTGTAATGGACTCTTTCCACATCATTTTGTAACTATCTCTTGAGTCATGAAATTCCCCAGCAAAGAGTCTCAGTGATGAGGTTTAACCCACGTGCAGGCTCTCCCTGCAGCTCTGATCTTGCCGTCACGTTGTAGAGCCCTGTGTCATGTGGTTTGATTTATTTTAGATCCAAGGGAAACCAGGATATGCCAGGGCTACTGAACCACTTTCTGATTTATTGCAAGCTTTAAGCAGTTAATACAGTTTTTAAGTTTTACAACCCTTAATAACAATTACTATACAATTTAAACTTTAAATATTATAAATTCTAAAGCAATTAATACAGCGCAAAGCAATTACTATCAGATCTACTTTATACAATAACAAAGCCTAATCCACTTACACTTCACCCGTATGCTACCTACAGTGCCAGGCAGGGGGTCGTGGGTCCGTCTCTTCCCACGCATTGGAACGCCGGTGTGAAGGGCCTAATCACTTCTAGTTACATTGAGCAGGACCTGTGGCTCAGTCCTGCCCATTCCCTCCCATCGATTTGTTCTTACTAAACCCAGTTTAGAGCAAAGCGAGACTTGGTCGTTCTAATACTATTTACCAATTGATGCATATTGTGCAGGACACATCAAATGCCCAGTGCCCTAGCTGGATTACATCCTGCTGCTCAGGGTGTTGCTGCTCTGTGCGCAGTTGACAGTTCTAGGCTGCGTCTGCACTTTTTGCTTATCAGAAACAGGTACCAGTACAAGGCCGCTTGTCCTGTGTTCTTGACGTGGTCTCGCGTACCAGGCTTAATCTGCATTGTTATGCAAAACCGTTCCTGACTCTCCCGCCCTGCCTGCGTGCTTTGGCGCACCAGACTTGAAACTGGCCAGAGATCCATGCGTTGGACAAGGCAGACATCACCACTTATTGCCAAGGCAGGGTAGGCAGGCTCCCCCTCCCCCTGCCAGTCGGTGGGTACCTGTGGCTGTGGATGCGAGTATCTGTGGCTCATTTTGCAGATACAGATGAGGCTGTGGATACCAATTGTGCGTGCGCACAAGGCTCTGCACACGGGGGGGTGGGGGTGGGGGTGCTCCTCTTCTGCTGGCTCACCAGAGTGCTCTGCTGGGATCCAGACACCAAACCCTTGTAAGCTCCCCTGGTCCCTGCAGATGCTGGGGCACTGACATGGTCTGGGGGACGCAGACACGGGGAACGTTAAGTAGGATGCAAAGGTGATTTTTTTTCCTCTGGATTTGCATTGGTGCAGCTGCTGCTGGAATCCTGGGTCCAGTTCTGGTGCTCAGAATTCGAGCAGGACGTTGATAAATTGAAGAGGGTGAGAGAAGAGCCGTAAAACAATTAAAAAGATTAAAAACCTGACTCGAGTTCTAGACTCAAAGGGCTCGGTCTCTTTAGCCTCGCAAGGAGAAGATTGAGCAGTGAGTTGACTAGAGAGTAGAAGCACCTACATGAAATGGGCTCTTCAGCCTATCAGAGAAAGGTCTCGTGCACGCCAGTGGCTGGACTTGGAAGCCAGACAAATTCAGACTAGAAATAAGGTTCACACTGTTAGCAGTGACAGTAAAGAACTATTAGAATAGGTTACCAAGATCGCGCTGGATTCCGGCACTGGCCAGTGTAAATCCGGATTGGGTGTGTTCTGTCCTGCCCTGTACAGGAACTCAGAGTGGACCATCACAATGGTCCCTTCTAGCCTTGGAATCTAGGAACCCCGGGGTTCAGCAATCTCATAGTAACCACTTCCTAATCCCAAGCAGAATTCCTCAGTGGCACCGGCACGTCCCGCAGCCAGGGATTAGAATGGTCTGCTCCTGGAGGTTTTAACTCGATCCGCGCTATTGGGTTGCGAGAAGGGAGAACTGGATACCTGTGGGCTCTCTGATGGAAACGGGATTCCCACTGAACGGGGCAGTGGGTCCTGCTCATGCTCAGTAAGGTCACTGCTCGTTTGGAGACACTCTGGCATGGACAGTGCACGAAGGGACTTGGCGTTGGGACTCTGGGGATCTCCTGGGGCTTTCCCTTCCCCTCACGCAGTGCTTGGCAGCCATCCAGCTCATGCAGAGAGCGGGCAGCGGGCTGCTAGCAGACCCACAGTGAGGGGCAGGATTAGGGGGTTGGCAAGAATTACATGAATGAGTCCCAGCAAATCGCTCTGTGTCCCTCGGCAGGTGGCTCCAGGGGCAGCTCCTGCTCTTTCTCTTCTGAGTACAAAGGGGGCCCCGAGCGCGGTCCCTGGGGGCCTCAGTCTGCTGAAAGCCCCCTCTGTTTCCCCGTCCCCAGCACTTCTGCTGCGGTGCGAGGGTGCAAGCAGCGGGAAAGGGACTAACGTGGGGAATTCAGGGTTGCTGTAAGGGAACGGCTGGCGTTTGGCTGGGGAACATTTCCAAAGGGTAGGTCGATGGGTGTGCTCGCCCAAGAGGGATGAGAACGCTCCCATCTCAGCGGCTCGTCTGGGAGACGCTGAGGTGCTGCCGACAATGGCAGCTCTGTGAGTTGAGTCAGCGTGCGGTGGGGCCGTGGGGGGAAGGTGTGTGTTGGCGCTGGGGACATTCCAGCTCGTAGGTTGCCCTGAAGAGAAGCAGTAACCAGCCCGTGCTGGGCTCCTTTGTGCTGCCGAGGCAGCAGGCGCTGACCGTCCTTTTCCTTTGCAGCGACATTGTGGTTCAGATCGTAGATGCCAGGAACCCTCTCCTGTTCAGATGCCAGGATCTGGTGAGTTCAAAGGACATTTGCTGCATTTAAACGGCTGCCCTCGTCCCGGTCCTCCCTTTGCCAGTCTGTTAGTTTAGATCCAGTACAATTACACGGGCTGTCGAGCATGCAAGGGTGTGTGCATGTGACAGTCCTCTCAGCAGTGTGGAATCCAAAACCAGCGTAACACTGGGAATTACAGACACAGCAGCCATTTAACAGAAGCCTCTGCAGCAACAAAATGCCAAACTTGATCAATACTCCAAGGTCTGGAGCCCTGCTGTGCCGCACCTGGCTGGTAACTAGGGGGTCTTTGTATTGCAGATATCCCCTTTGGCCTGGTCTCCACTTACCCCAGGATCCACGCTCCAGCAATGGATCTTCCGGGGTTCGATTTAGTGGGTCTAGTAAAGACCTGCTAAATCGAAGACTGAGGGCGCTGCCGTCACTCATTGTACTTGCTGTCCCAAGGAGCAAGGAAAGTCGATGGGAGGATTTCTCCCATTGACCTCCCACTCTGGGGCCACCCCAGAGAATCGATGCCCGGTACATCGCCTGCAGGTACGCACTAGCTGGAATGGGTATCCTGCCTCAGTTTTCTCCACTGTAGAGCTGGCCTTTGTGCGTGCAGTTCCGTGACTGCCTTTGCAAACCAGGCACACAGCTGGGGAGAGCCCTTTGCAGTGGAATTGTGGTGAGCCTACCTAACCGGCCTGATTTTCCTGTACTTGGTATTGGACTGCAGCGGTTCCCAAAGGAATGCTACGTGAAGGAAATCAGCAGCGACAAAGAGAACGTCATTCTGATAAACAAGGCAGACCTGCTGAGCACAGAGCAGCGCCGGGCGTGGGCGCAGTTCTTTGAGAGAGAAGGCGTCACAGTGGTGTTCTGGTCAGCCCTGGCGGAAGGCGTGCGGCTGGGTGCTGCAGCTAAGGTAGCTCTCGTGGGGTGGGGGGAATTGTGTTTGCCTTGTTGCTGTGCTTGCTGTGTTGCTGTGTCACTGAACTCCGGAGAGAGGGACAATACCCTCTTCCTTGGGGAAGGGTGTGTGCCAGGTCCCACTCTAGAGCAGACTGTGGTCCCCACAGTGTGGTGCGCGAGACATCTCTGGGCAGAAATGGTTCAATTGGATTTTATTTCGTAGTCGGCTCCTCGGAGGATGCTATGAAACTGGGACCTGGCGTTATGAAAATCCGATAGTTGCTCTGCTTCAGGGTGTGCAGTGAGCGCACTGATACAGAGATGCTGAAGTGCAGAGCCTCGCCTCCAGCCCCAATACCACCTGGAGCCCGGGGTCCAGCAGCTGTCCAGTCTAAGCGAGCTCAGGCCACGGGGTGGGCAGGCTGGCTGTATAAGTCACGCTGTAGCTATAGCTGTATGGGGACAGATGGCTTGGAAAAGCTAGCTTCAAGAAGAACCAGCAGCGGGTGGGGGATGCAGGCGGCTGGTATCTGGAAGGGGGTAGGTACTGAGAAAAGAACCGCTGCGGTTACCAAGTAGCGTTGCAGCAGCAGGCGGAGCCGTGCAGGAAAGCTGTGTGCCGTGGCACGGTGCAGCCCTTCTCCTCGCTTCGCACGGCTCCTGCAGCGCTCTAGACGAGGAGGCACTGAGCCACGGAAGGCAGGGACTGCGCTCCAAGCCCTCGGGCTGCGGACTCGGGAGTGTTGCTTGGCTTGCTGGCGGCCCACAGCAGCCGTGTGACGTGGAGACGGGG